TCCGAAGAGGCGAAGTCCATGAAACAACCCTCTTCAAAAGCCGAACTATGAAAAAGTTGTTTAATTCTCCCCCAAAACTGCTCATAAAAAAGCCCTGCTACCCCACCGCCCACAAAAAAATTCGTTTAAGAAGTACAAAAGTGAAAAAGTCAAAGAATAATCATTATTGATGAGTCCTACCAAACGAGCAAACGAGAAACAGACCAGAAAACGACAAACTAGCCACTAAAAATGGCATACCATGACAACATCTGTTCTTTATTTATTTCCTCCACAAGACTTACCAAATTCTAGTACTACACAGATTGTGGTTCTCAATTTGCACGTAGCCCTTCAGTTGAAAGAAGCTTTTTAACCGCCTTCGCCAGCTGAGTGTTGACTGGACTTTGGCGTTGACCGTGGAGCAGCTTATTTACTATTGAAATTTGAACAAATATTCAAATGATTATAACTTTCTTCAAATATGACGAATTTTCAATCTGAAAGTAGATTTGGAAGTTTTGTGAAGAGCTTTTTCTAATCAGTACAGAAATTACAAAAAGTTATAAGAAATAACAAATTTAGGCCAATTAACGAGGAAAATTCGAGATGAGCACGAGTTTTTACACTTTCCCGGAGCAATAACTTGCTTCATTCCGTCAAATTCAAAAAGTTGATACGTCATACAAAACTAGAAGATTTTCTCTATCAAACGGTTGCTAAAGCAGCTTCATACGTCCAGTATTCAAAAAATGGCCACGTTGAGGATTTCTGCAAAATTAACGAGGAAAATTTGTGATGAGTGCGAGTTTTTTTACTTCCTAAAGCCATAACTCCGTTCAAACTCATCCAATCCGAAAAGTAAATACGCCATCATAAACTAGAAGATTTGCTCTATCAAATGCTTACTAGAACTGCTCCAAACGTCCAGTATTAAAAAAACGGCTACGTTGAGGATTTTCGCACGAGTACCGCCGAAAGGTACTTTTTCGCTACATTGGCACTATTTCAACGGCTGTATATCCTTTTAAGGGCGATTATGTACTAAAGTAAGAGCAGATTTGGAATCACTGCTTTTCTCTTTCTAAGAAAAGTGATTGATTAGCGTTTCTCAACTTTAAAGGTTACATGTTTATAAATTTAACCCTGAAGAGTCCGTTAACGCAATGTTGAATGGTGTACACCTCCCTGTAAATGCGCACGGACACTTTCAGAATTCTCTCGATTGTTCCTGAATTGAGGTTGTTTGTCCAAGGAGCCGTAGTTGAAGCGCGCGCAACAACTAGACCCTTTCTCGGATGCGCCGTGTACCTCACATCCCTTCAGATTCGGGGTCTTACTTGAAAGATGAAATATCTCTTGGAAAGCGTGCGAAATTCAGATTCTTTAATTTTGTGTGGTGATAAAACACTGAAGTAACTAAGAATTACCGGACGCCTCAGAATCACGAAAATTTTGTGTGGGTGAAATATCATTTTCATTGGAAATCCTCTGGCCTGGCATCGACTCATCCTTGATATTTGTCTTCCGACGGGTGATGATCCCACTGCATCAAAATGGCTCGATCTCTTCCCACCCAGCGGGCCAATACGACCCCCCCCCCTGCGACGTGTCGAGGATTCCTCAACGCACGCTTGACCCTGCTCCAGCTGCCACTGCAGCACCATGTGGAATGAACGGAAGTGTGCTAAGCAGGTGTTTATATAGCCCTAAGAGTGTTATCACAACTATCCTGCTACAAAACATTGATATCTCAAATCCTGTAAGCTACCCGATTTGTTAGCGGTTTGTTTATCCCATGAGCTTCCTTCTCACTCACTTCATTTTGCGGACGGACACACATACATACATACATACATACATACATACATACATACATACATACATACATACATACATACATACATACATACATACATACATACATACATACATACATACATACATACATACATACATACATACATACATACATACATACATACATACATACACACATACATACATACATACATACATACATACATACATACATACATACATACATACATACATACATACATACATACATACATACATACATACATACATACATACATACATACATACATACATACATACATACATACACACACATACAGACATACAAACCGACACACAAAGTTAGCGCTTTATAAAAATATATTATTATTGGAGTGTGATTACGAGGAAACTCTCCATACGTTGACTGGAATACCCCATGAGCACCGACTGATGTCGATAGCCAATTTTTCTCAACTGGCTCAAAATCTCAACTTTTTCCAAAAACTCTATTTTAAAGAATACCCAATTCTCCGACCACGATTATGACATTTATTGGGCTGGTGCATAAGTATTCAACTCTTCAAGCAACAAACTGCCTGAATTTTAATTCTGATGATTTTGCTATAATTTTGTTCCATTCATCCTAGCATAATATACACCATCAATATCTACAACCTATTGCCAGCGCAAAAGAAACTGTTCGATTTTGACATCATGATGGTTAGGATGAGATTTCTTCTCTAGGAGGTGGTTTGGAGAGGGAAGCAGAGGGCATCCTTTGCCACGAGGTCAGGGCTATAAGGTGGATACGGAAGAACTCTCCGTCCCAGAGTCCCAAAATTTTTCTAGATTAGCAAGAGGTGGTTCAAAGGTGTCATGAGAAAAGCAAGCTTTGTCTTGCTCTTGAGGCGGATGCCATCGAGATGTGGACGGTTGGCTATCGCGCTGACTGCTTCATCTACACATAAGGAATAGTAGAATTCCTTTCATCTGCATCAAAAATCAGAGGAGGCCCTATCTGCGCGAGGTTCAAAATTAAGCAGTAAGAATTCCCAAAACGTTTGAGCTGGACTATCGCCGCTTGTTTATTTGTTAGCACACTGTACCCTCTCCTCATCTTCGGCAAATGTGATGGATGGTCAATCGAAGAATCCATAGTAAGTCGACTTGAACATGACGATGTCAGATCGTGTTTGGAGCTAATTCGGGCTCAAGCAGGTGGAGATCCATACCTTAGGCATATTCATGCGCTTTGACTAACTTTTTTCTGAAGTATTTCTTGCAAATCTTCATATCGTATTGTTGCTTCAAATTCAAAACTTAGCCAGGTACGCTACTGCTCTTGTGCTTACGAAGCTTAATTAGTAGAAGTTATTTCCTCAATTGTGAATAAGAAGCCTAGCGTTCACTGCTACCACAATACCTATATCGAAAAATCACCGGGTGTTAAACTAACTGCATTTGCATGCATAAGTTATATTACGACTGAGGCTATTTTACAAACAGAGAAATAACAGAATGACATCGTAAAAATCGCTATGAATCAGATCTATTGACTAACAACGAGTAGTCTAGGCTCAGGTTGAAGAGTTCCTAATGCAGAGCTCTTTGCAACTGCAAACATACTTACTTGGATTCTTGCGCTTTTCAAAAAAAAGGAACACGCGGTTGAGGAGGCGCAGACGCCACGTTTGCCACGTTAAGCCTCTAGTAAAAAGTGCTCCAGAGTACTTTTTACTCGAGGGTGGCGTCTGCGTCTCCTCAAGCGCGTGCGCTTTTTTCTCTGCTTAATTCTGAATTAAGCTAGCAAGTTATCTCTCTAATTCGTAATTAAAATCGATTTTTCGATATTGATCTAGCTGTGAGCTAATCAAGAGTTAATGTGTTGGTGGAGCGCTTTAGATCTGTTACCTAATCATGACTTTTGTGTGAGCTAACTACAACACGTTAACACAGAATTAGGTTAGGTTTACTACCGTCCCAATTGTTGTTTTCTTTGCCACACGATTTTAGATGTAATCATGAGCGGCAGCATAATGAAACCAATTTATCAAATGCTGTATATTCTGATTCCTACAATTTCTATAGTGGGAAATTCCTTGATCGTCTACGTCACCATACGCTCTGAGTAAGTCATCTCTTAAAGCTCTAACTCCTTTTTCAAAGCTGTTTCGAAACGTCGCGTTAAACGTGGATTGAAATCTGCAGACTTGGTGTTAATTTTTAGAGAATAATGTAACGGGGCTTTGTGCCAAGGTGATATCATTTCAGTGATCTCAAAAGTGCCTGTCACGTAATGATCGGTCTGATTTCCTTCTGCGATGTGCTTCATGCGATTGGACATTACATTATGGTAATCTCTCACAATCTGTAAGTCTCTAATCTTTTTTGAATGGAAAAACTTCAAACGATTCCTCACGTGGAGGATGCCATGTTTGCATGTGCCCGTGTTTGAGATCCTGAATGCAGCGGAGTTCACTTCAAAGCAGTACATTATCTTGCATGACTTTTGCATCCCTTGAAATGTAGCTTGCGGTTGTGACCAGAAAGTTACAGCCCTGCCGTCAAGATCGTGGGGATCCTCGATAACTCTCATTGTGTGCACCTCAGCGTTGTTGCAAACGCACAACTGGTAGCAATCAGCCGAATTTCGTAAAAAATGAGCACGCTCACCCTTCATCACCTACAGGCGATCAAAGCAGTGCTTACTTTACGTAAAATCTCTTGCGAAGAATTGCAAAGGGATACTATAACCCTGAACGAGTTAGCTCTTGAATGCAGCCCAGATCTTCTGGAGCTCAAAAAATATACCAGGTCAAAAGATGGCTGGGTTCTCAGAGAAGTTTGGAGCTGTGAAATGTTGCTCGGAGTCTTATGTACACTTCTGCTGACACCTCAAGAGACCACTACAGTAATCAAATGCCAAATAGCTAAAAAGGTTTTGGTTCTCCTTCAAAGGTATTTGCTCAAATGTTGCAGGATTTTCATGACAGCCGTCTTTCATTTCTAATTAGGCCTGTCATTCCAGGGCTTCTGATCATCTACTGCCCTATGATGTCTGCGTTTACTTACAGCTCCTTCCTATCTGTGGATTTTTATCTTCAACAGCCTTATTGTTGAGTTTGGCTGTAGACAGGCTAATGTCGCTGCAGAAAATTTAGTAAGTTTTTCAAAAAAAAATCGAAGTATAACAAAATTAGGCAGATTTGATTATACATATGCATGATCAACAATGTGGAGGTATTCATAGCATGCGACGGAACGTGAAAACAGACATACAAAGCACAATCGTGAGGAAAAAGAATACTGCAAGCTTTTTTCTATAACATTTATTGCTCCGGCTTAAATGCATAATTAGTAGGGCTATTATTGTTGATCCATAGCGATAAGCACAAGTGGTCTCGTAAAATAGTATATGTATTGCTGAGGAAAGAGTGCTGGAAGGTGTACAGGAATATGATTGCGTATCAGCTCTTTAGTGAGAGCGATGACCATTTAATCGTGCTTCAAAAATGTTTATGTGTGCTCATTTTTTCAACGTTCTCTTCAACCGGGAATTCTCAAAAAGACCACGGGACGCATTACCTAGGTAGCTCTTCTAGGTTTCACATTTTGTTTACTACCTGAGTCACTTATCTTTTGATTAAATCACTCATCCTCAAGAGCTTTTGGAATAAACTCCGGGGTAAAGTTCAGAAGGGTTTGTTTGGAGATATTAAAATACCCTTAACGGCTTCATGGCAGCTTCTGAGATATAATGATCGTGTTCTGCTGCAATGCATTTGATCGTGATTAGTAATGGGGAAAGAATTTTAAAGAATCCAATCTCTGAAAATCGCCCATAACCGGTCAACCATGCTCACATCAGAATGAATTCCATTTGGAATTCATTCGAATGAATTCCAAATGGAATTCATTCTGGAATGCACAACGATATACAGTGGTCCGTTGAGTAGCAAGTCAGTGATTTTGCTTTCCAATGAAAAGATATTTTTCACAGCAGGTTCCAACGGCACTTGAACGGGGGCCGTATTCGCAAGTACGTTGAACATCTCTTGGGATGTGCGAACGTGAGCCGCAGATGAATGGAGCGTGGTCGTAAGAAGTCCCGCTCTTCACGATTCTGACGGGCTTTTAATAATTTTGCAGAATTACCCAGTGAGTATTCCTACTGCCGCCTGAAAATGTTGAATTTGTGCCAAAATATTGGGTTGTCTCATAATTCCTGTCTCAATTTTGACACTTTTGTTTATTCAAGTTTTATCTCTTCTAGGAAACAACTGATCAACAGCATAACCACCATCATGGTCACTGATATGCGTGCATTTGCTAGGAACGTTTGGAAGCTTTCCGCCCAGAATGAAGGAAGCTGGGGGTTGAAGAATTTGGAGAAGTCGTTTTTGGGGTTGTCGTATTCCTTGAATTTTTCTCTCGCATATGCTGGTTCAGGACGCAGGGGAGGCGATGTCCGATAAAGCGATGCCAGCGCTATATGGTGGACGAGTAATCGTGGCCCTGGCTATCTCCCCGAGTTGTGGCGAGTTGACATTGCACTGTGAGGTGGGGAAAAGGGATTCTGAGACGTTTCTGACGATTCCCTCGCAATACCGAAGCCAGCCTAGAGGGCTATTCCACGCTGACTTTAGCAATGCTTGTCTTCATACATTGAAGTGGTTCCCAAACCAGGCCACCTAGCGAATCCAACAAAACGAGAGCGATATTCTCAGAAAACGGAGTTCGGGCTTTGGTTGAGCTGGTGCTTCCTGGCTGCGAGGCAGCCATCAGACGTGCCGCATGTTGTTGTCGCAGTGGACTCATGACTCATTTCCACTGGTGACCGATTAGGGAAGGCTCTGCTTTTGCCGTCGCAGAATGATTTTCCCCAGGTGATCAGAGCGTGCTTCTCGCTCATGGTCGGCGGATCAGGTTTCCATCAAGACTTCATTCTGCAGCAGTTCTTTCCATACTGATGGCGTGTGCTGGTGCATCGGCTGCGCAGGTATCTGCTACAATACCCTGGTAGCAACGTCCGGAGGCACTCCCAATTTGGGTGCAAGGGGCGCTCATCAAAAGTGACCGCAGGCCCAGTATGAGGTTGAAGTTCATAGCTCGTTTCGTCTTTGCCGTTGCGATTGGACACTAGCTCAGTACCCTATCAGTAGCAGAGACTAAGCCGAACACAGCGCTGATCTTCTCTGCTGTCCTCCTTGCAATAGAGTTCATTTGTGGATCGTAAAGCATAACCATTCAATATTGTCACCGAAGTATTTTTATTCCTAGATAGTTAATTAACCCGTTAGGAACTTGCTATTCCGAGAACACCTGGTTGAGGCTCTGAAAGCATACTTCAACATATTAAAGGAATCTTCCACGGACCATGGACCAGTGGGCGGGACCGGAAGTGGTTTTGCGACGAAATGCATGGTAGGTACGGATCCACGTTCATGGGAAGGTTTGAAGTGAATCCTGTTCACGTTCGTGCGTTCGACACGTGGATCCGTACCTACCATGCATTTCGTCACAAAAACTTCCGGTCCCGCCCACTGGTCCATGGTCCGTGGAAGATTCCTTTAACGTAGTTCGCAGTGAAACGGTTTCAGACAAAAGGAATTTGAATTTGAGTAGAAATGAAACAGGAATTATGAGACAACCCAATATATTGCTTTGAAGGCGGAGGTTAAAAACTGCACGACTATCTGCACAACCTAATACAAAGAGTACATAGCTCATAGATACGCCGACGTGAAACTAGCGGAGCGATAAGTAGATTTTAGTGCGTGAAAGCCACGCAGAGGCACAGTCGATGTGAAGGAGGTGAAACAGAAGGGAAAAACAATGTTCATTGAACCTGAAACCCTGTATACAAACCCGGGATCAGGCTGGTGCTAAGAGCGCTTCGAGCGGAAAGCTCAGTTGCGGAACGACCTGCGGGGGATGAAAGCAAGAAAACTTCTTGCGAACGCTGAAGTGGAGGCCTTAACCTTCAATAAGGTCGGATGTGGTACGATGGCGAGACAGGGCGATCAAAGAAGACAAAATACGCGAGAGAGCACGTCATTTGAGAGAGCACGCTGATTTCTACATCAGTGCCGCTCACATCTCTCGCGGGGAATGGGGAAGCATTGGAAAGGGGGTCAATGGTTGCAGGTCCGTAAGGATTAGCGCCCGTCAGTGCGATATTCGCGACGAAGCTGGAGTATCTAGGTAGGTACAGACCGTACAATTTTTCCCGCGGTACCATGCTATTAGGGGGCTTGCCCTTAAACGTTGCAAGCAGTTTTGCCTTTATTTTAAATAGAAACACTTATCCTGCCATTTGGTGAGTGTTCCATATTCAAGAGCGGGGCTGTGTGCGTCCCAAGCTCCCATCAAAGTGCTGGGGATTTTGGAAAAAACAACCCTTATGTTTGCTTGTCTGACTTTTTCTTTTCTGCTCAACAAACTACGTACGCATTTTAGCAGACGGATAAAATCCACACTCTGCAGCTACAACATCCATCTAGAATAACTTTGGCACTCATCCAAAATTCAAGTTTTAGCTTGCTGTTTGCTAAAACCTACCGATTGACTTATACGATTATGCAGGTCACAGCTGTGCTTTCATATACTTTGTTTTTTGGAATCTGGGCAGTGGTTAGCCGCACGACAAACACGTGAGTACGTTTGAGGCAGGACATTGTGTATCATTTATCTCTTCCATTGCCAGCGCTATTCTTAACTCAAAAGGGGTCGTCACCCAAAGCCCTTCGCTCGAGTAGCGCTGACTAGCGAGACCATGCGAGCGGAGATTTACACAACAACGCAAGCTCTTCATTCCTGTGAACAGAGTTTCACGCTGGATGGTAGAACCAGGGTCGGTCCTATCGTTGCTACTTTTCGAAATTTTTTTACGACCCCCTCCCCCAAGGTGGATTTGATACGACCCCCTTTTCCCTACCTCCACCATCTCCATCTTCCATCAAAACCCCGCCCACTTTTTCCTCCAAAAATGCCGTCGAGCGGGGGGGGGGTATAGTCACTCTGAAACGGTAAATATCTCCGAAAATTTCCTTCTATTTCCACCATTTCAACCCATTTTTTACCTATACTCCCACTACTTCCTTTTCTAGGGGGAGGTATATACGCGCGCTGAAACGGCAAATTTTCTCCCGCGCCGCTCCCCACTCATCACATGCAACTTCTTACAACCGAAGCAAGTACGACCCCCCCTCTACAAACTCATCAAAATACGACCCCCCGTTGCTACTTGTAGCAACATAGGGTTGACCCTGGGTAGAACCTCGCTTCGGACATGGACACATTTTAACGGCCGCGGCGAATTTGGCTTTTCCGGCAATAAATACCGCAGGATACCCAAAAATTCTCGAT